AAGCTAACCACTACACAACCCAGTCACTGATAACGTTATCTTCAACAATGTTAGTTTTTTCTAAATTATGAGATTGATGAAATATGGTTTAGATTAAATTTAACATTTATTTAATTTATTGTTCATTATTTTTTGTGAATTTTGGAGATTTATACTATCAACATACATTAATTTTGTTCGTTCTGACAATTTTTGGGGGGCAGGGATCACAATTTTTTACGGTTGGGAACGCCTTTTAACAATCGATAATAGTTGGCCACATCGATTGTTAACCGTCGGTTGGGCGACTTTTAACAAGCAGTCCACCCTCGACTGCATTTTTTTGGCCGATTTTTATCTTAGGGTGTGTCTGTTTATGCTTAAAATTTGAGAGAAAAGTGATTTTTTGACCGTTGCTTAAGAAAATTGGGGCCCACTCTCTCACCAAGGAAGTAAAAAATTGCGGCCTAACGTCTCTAATTGTAATTAACAGCCGCACCAGACAGAGCCTTAATTTTTTTACTGTTTAATAAATTCTTTTATCTTTATTATAATTTATTTTTTTAATTTTAAATAATATTTATAATCTTTATTTAATTTGTTTATTTTTTTATTAATTTTTTGGTAATTATTTTAAAATTTATGAATTGTTTTCTTCTTATTATAATTTAATTTTTTTCAATTTAAAATAATTTTTAATATTCTTACTTCAATTTTTATATTTTTATAATTTTTATAATTTGTTTTTTTCTTTTTTTATTTTGTTATTTAATTTTTATTTAATTTAATTTATTATTTTTTTTCTTAATTTTTTTAAAAATTTCTTAGTTGTTTTCTGTTTATCATTATTTAATTTTTTTTCAATTTAAAATAATTTTTTATATTTTTTCTTTAATTTTTATATTTTTATAAATTTCTTTAATTTATTTTTCTTTTTTTATTTTGGTATTTTATTTAATTTATTACTATTTTTTCTTAATTTTTTTAAAAAATTTCTTAATTGTTTTTTGTTTATCATAATTTATTTCAATTTATAATGCTTTTTAATATTCTTCCTTTAATTTTAATTTTTTATTAATTTAATCCTTTTTTTCTATAATTCTTATTATTTCCTTTAATTTATTAAATCATTTCTTTTATATTAGCGTCGATGTAAAATAAATTTATTTCTTGCGTATAATAGTTACAATTCAATTCGCTTAATTTTTTATATTTGCTTTATTCCATTATTTCTTGTAGAGGTTCCAACATTTCAATTTTTGTATAATGGAGTATCATCTCGATATTGGGTTGAGATAGATGGCAGGAAAATGTACTTGGAACAGTAGTTTCGACAGTTTTACTACTATATTATAATTACTCGATGATCAATACAAAGATGTGCTACATCAATCCTTCATGTGGCCCTTGTATCAGTTGAGAGAGGTGCAGTATTCCGAACAGATCATTGATATATTATAATGTCGACTACTTAGGCCAGTCGATGGTGATGCACTCCACTTCGACTTTGGGGGTAAGGTCGCTAGTTTCTCTATGTTTGAATTTGCCGTTATTACTGGACTGAAGATTACATGCAATGAAGCAATGAACAACGGTGCTCAAAAAAACAATAGGTTGTATAATTCAAATTTTCAGGGAGAGGAGACGATGCTTCTACCGCAGTTGATTAGCGCAATCAAGGAATGCAACCAGCTGTTGGACATATTGAAAGTGGGACTGGTCTACATCTTTGAGAGCATGGTAAGGTGTCATCACAAAAAGACTGCAATTGACCTTTTCATTTGAAAGTTGTTGACGACATCAATGCTTTCAACAACTATCCGTGGGGTGGAGATATTTTCAGGACATCATAGTTTACGAGGACATGTGATAAATGCTGCCCTCGGATACATCATTGACGAGCATCCCGAGCAGATTGTTGTTCATCTAGCAGACAATTATTAGCTCTCCTAGATAACTTATATGAGTATTATACAATTGCGATTTATATTGTATGTCGTTTCAAAATCTTAGCACATGATCATTAACTAGTTGAAATGTCAATATGTCAGTTTAAACTAACTGAAATGTCTGATTCCATCCTGAACTGAGATTGAGTATGTTAATTGAACATAATTTGTTGATTACCATTTTGTATGAGTTGAGGTAGTTTAATTAAGTTATTAATTTTTAATGTTCTTATTTATGTAGGAGCGCAATCCAGTTGATCGACAATCACCTTCGCCTCGAATATCACCTCCATCGATGGGATAACCTCCGCCAATAAGATCTCACTTTCCCCACATCCAGACACATCACTGTGAATCTCTTGCATACAGTCAGAGTCAATATGTCAATGATCAGTATATGCGTCTGACTGGATTTATCAGAGAGGAGGTGAACGCGTTATGACATGAGCTGAGAAATGAGGTGAGCAGGCTACGACAGAGTTGGGAGAAAAGGTTGGAGAGCTGCGACAAGAGTTGAGATGCGAGGAAGCACATTTATGCTATAATGTTGGAGTGTTACGAGGCCATTTATTAGACTTTCAAAATGAGGTAGCAGCGCTACGAGGTGATATACCAAGCAAACGAGGGGTCACGAACGGGGTGACGGAGAAGGAGGTCACACAGGGTGGTCCCATCCACAACTGTGTGTTCCACCCATCCACAACTGTGTGTTCCACCATTGTGGACAGAGGAGGGTACATTAGAATCATTTTTGTTATCTGTGGAGTGGAAGGGGGTGGCCCCAATGGTGACAAAGATGTGACGGGGAAGAAAGGACGGAGGGGATGGCCCTGATGACGGGAGGAGGTGACGATCCCCGGGGCAGAGGTGCATGGGGCGAAGTCGGTCTCCAGGGTAGGGGGTGCTTGGGACGGAGCAATCACAAGAGATGGTGACGGATGAGAAGAAGACACATGTCATGACACAGGGTGAGAAACGTGTTGTTGACGTGCAGGAGCAGATGGTCCGCAAGAGGATTAAAAAGGATTATACTTTAACATTAACTGTTGGATCAATATGATTTTCTTGTTTGGTTATGGAATTATTAAACATTTCCATGACCTCATTATCAAAGGCATAATGACTTAACCACATCTGCCATCTAATAAGTCTTCCTTGTTTATAGTCTGGGTGTACCTTATTTTCAGAAATGCTCTGCAAGTAGTTGAATCAGTTCTAACAAGAAATTTATCAGAAATGATATAAAGTCTAAATTTTGCAATAGCCTTTTTCATGGCTAGAATTTATTTTTCATTTATGTGATAATTCATTTCTTCTCTTGAAAAAAGTTCCTGGAGCATATGCACAAAGTTTTTCAATCAAAAATGTAGACAATGGAAGCCAACTGGTACACATGTAGAATAAATAATTAAAAGACTTTTAAGCAAATAAACCTTCTTACTCCATGTTGAGATTGGGTTCGTCTTGTTACCTTTATGTCTGATATGCTGTCATTGCCTCCCTATTTTGGATCGTCTGGACTTGTTTCCCTAAAGGACTCTTGCCAAGCGGTATTCCTTTGTCCTTGATCCTTATAGATTTGTACATGAAAATTGCAATTCAGAGTAGAAGTATGAAAACATGATAAAATTTTATTCAAAGAATGTTTAAGAGCAAAAACTCTCTTAAACTTTATGTAGATACAAGGGTGAATTGCCCATTCTACTTCAAGATCGGTGCGTGCCGCCCTGGCGACCGCTGAGCTCGGAAGCGCGTCGTGTTGTAAACTACGCAAACGTGCATTGCACGGTGCTTGCACCTAGTAGTCAATTAAAACCACTTCCAACAGAAAAGCAAGTAATAAGCGAAGGAAAAATACTTGCTATATTCACCATAACAATGGGGCATAATAATGGAAAGGTAGGAATTGTCAGGCTAAAGCCCCAATAACCGCGAACAAAGAAAAATCTTTCCTTCCAATTATGTACCTTATTGAGAGTAATTACAAGTTTCAAGCATGTCCTAGGAAAGCATAGTAGTACCTTTTTATAGAAAAAAAAAAAAAGGTAATGAACAAAAAGTAAGAAAGGAACCCACAAAGAGCAAGAAACGTATTTATAGATTCTAATATGAAGCATGAGCCATCAAATTGTATACTTAAAACAATCACAATTGTTCAAATTATCCAGACCATCTCAACCATTAATATTATGAGGTCCTTGATCAAGAATTCAAAAGTAAACAATCACAATTGTTCAAATTATCCAGACCATCTCAACCATTAATATTATGAGGTCCTTGATCAAGAATTCAAAAGTAATTTATACGATTGCACGTGACTGACACACACATTAAATATGCAGGTCACTAAACCTGGAGATGTGCAAACATGCTCCTATAGTGCATGCAAAAAATTATCACAATCATAGCATGTCCCATCAATAGAGTCCACACCATCTTCACAAACTAAGAGAAACACACGCCATGATATCCTCTGTAGGCTTTCAGTCTAACAAAACAACAAGTCCTAGACTTAATATGAATAATAATATCGGACTTCGAAGACTATTTGTTGAATCAATAAATATACTTTATGAGCCTCGCACTTCGCCTGCAAAGCATAAGCGATATGCAAGTGATAAGAATATGGAAGAGGCTCGCACCAAGTATAGATAAGCCATTCCTCTAAGCTGGTTAAAAATCGTTATTAAAGTGCACGTGAGCAAATATTCAAAGCTTGACATCAAAGCCAATTAAAGAAAGGCACATAAGCTAATGAATAAAATGAAATATCGTAACAGAATTAGTTATAAGTTAATCAATAAGAGGCCTCCATCCGTCATTTCTCCTAAATGACCAAATTACCTCAAAGCCCCTATGGGAAATCTATAACTACTCTCGCCTAAGGGAAGAAAAGCATGCAAATTCAAATATCTCCCTCGCAAATAGTCATTTTCCCTCTTGCTCCTATCTAAATATTGAAATTAGAAAGTTTAGGAGGAGAAAATCCTAGCTAGATGAGAGGAATTTTTTGATCTGATTTTTATCGTCAACAATGACAATGTAGATTGGTGATGTTAGCCTTGGTGGTGAATGGGTGGCATTTATGGTGGTGATGTCGACTTTCTAGTGGTTTTTGATGGTGGCACAAACTTGAAGGTAGTGGTGGAGATTGGCCTCGATGGTGATAGTGGTAGTAAAAATAGGTTGTGATGTTTTAATATGGTATGTTACAAATGGTGGTAACAAGATAAAAAAAAATAGTGGTAGCATAACACTATATGTTATAAGTGTCAGTGGCAACTATAGAAGTGGTATAACAATAAATATTACAGGGTAATTGGCACAAAACGTCCCTACCTTTGCCTGTCTTTATGGAAAACATCCATACCTTTCGTTTCTTGACACAGAACGTCCCTACCTTCCACTTTTTTTGCTCAAAACGTCATTTTCCCTAATTTTTAACCTTAAATGACTGATATACCCTCCAATTTAAATAAAACAAAAAGGAAAATAAAAGAAAAATAAAAAACAAATTGCAATCTGCTCCCAGACTTTTTTGAAAAGGCAAATTAGTCCAAAACTTATGAAAATATTAAAAATAATAAAAACACACACTCTCTCTTCTCCTCCGTCGCCTCCACCTCGTTGCCGCTGCCGCCGTCAAAATTTGGACTAACCGCCAAATTGGGGACTGATATTTGGCCATCTGTCCATCTCCCCTCCTTTTCTCTCTCTCCCCTCCCACCACGCTCCCTCGATCCTATGTTTTTTCCAAAATTCTTTGTACTTCACCATCTCCCTGTCTTACAGCCAAATTTCCCAAATTTCACTGTCAAATTGGTAACCAATCGTTAAGAATCACAGAGGAGCAACGAAACTCAAATTTCTCAATTCCCAAAACTCCACAACAATTAGGCAAGGAAATCCACCCGAATCCGACTGAGTTGATGGTGAAGCAGCTGGATATTGCAGGGAAGGGGGCAGTGTGGGCTAGGCGGAAGAAGGTGGCTATGAGGGCAACATTGGGTGGCAAAGGGTGGAGGGAGGTCAAAGAAGGAGTAAGAAGCAGAAGGAGGAGAGTGAAAGAAGGCTTAGACAAATTAAAAAATTGAACCCACCTGGGGTCATAATCCTCCATAATTAGGAGAGGACAAAAACCGATGGAACCAATTTTCTTGCGGCGGTGGTGGGGTGGGTGGTAAGGGGAGAGAGAGTAGAGAATGGAGGTTGGTGAGTGATATGGCGGTGGAAGGAGAAGGGATTCCAGGGTGAGAGATTGGGAAGGGAGGAGATGGAGGTCATGGTGGAGAAGGAAAGAATGGCCTGGGATTCATGCCTCTAGCTGGCAACGCCGTGAGTGGTTGTGGAGGGCGAAGACGGCGGGCTGTGTAGAGAGAGAATGGATGAAGGTTTCCGGTTGGAGGGAGGCGACAAGTTGTAGAGAGAGAGAATGGAGGGAGAGAATTATGGTCTGTGATGTTGGGTGAAATTAAATTAGTGTTTTGGACTGATTTTCATTTTTTCCTTGTCCCAATTATGTGACAGGGCAAGACATTTTGTCATTCTTAGAGGGGTATGAACAAGAAGCCGAAGTCAACAAATCAAATTAAGCTTACAACTAAGTTTCCGTTCGGCAAACTCATAAATGGTTTATAAGTAGGAATATTAAGAGAATAGTACTAGATCCCATAAAATTTGTTGATAATAATAAATGGTAGTAGTTATAAATGTCTGATTGAAATGAATGTTTGATTTTGACTAAGTTAATTGAAATTATCTGAAAGATCATTGAGCCACGTCATCAATGACGTAAACACGAATACTTAATACAGACTTTTAGCTTAGGAACAATACCACCAATATCCGCAAACACTACTAAGCACCCCAAGGTATTGTACACTAGTGTAGGTTACTCAGTTCGCACAGAGGAAGATACGTGTATTTAGAAGTCAGAATCGACACTTCTCCTTGTGTTTGTTGATTCTGTAGATTAAAGTGACAATAACTTGTTCTTATGCTTCTCATTATTGGTATTCTACCCATTGCCGTGTTGTTCTTCAAATTAATCTTTTACCATTAACATGGTGTTAATCTGAAAACATAATGTTCGCATTACACTAGGTAAGTTTTGAAAAATATGAATGAGCATACATCTCAGGAAAACCAGCACTTAGTTAAAAATTAATGCAGGCCAGAATTACCAATTTTCGGAGCTATGTGTGCGGAATGTAAAATGTTTTATGATGTATGAAAATGTAGACAATGGAGTCCAACTAGACCACATGTAAAATAAATAAATAAAGCTTTTAAGCAAATAAATCATCTTACTGTATGTAGAAATTGGGGTCGTCTTCTTACGCTTCTGTCTGATATGATGTCCATGCCTCACTATGGTGGATCATCTGGACTTGTTTCCCTAACGGCCTCCTGCCTAGCGGTACTTCTTTGTCCTGATCCTTATAGATCCATACATGGGTTTTGCATATAAGAGTAGAAGTATGAAGACATGATCTAAAACATGAAGTTTTATTGAAGAAGGTTTAAGAGCAAAAACTCTCTTAAACTTTATTTAATTACAAGTGCTTTAGATCCAGTATGGATCCACTGTCTTTGAGGGTTTAGCCTCGAATGGTGTACATGAACAGAGGGTGAGAAATATGATGAAATTGCAATTCAGAATAGAAGTATGAAAACGTGACGAAATTTTATTCAAAGAAGGTTTAAGAGCAAAAACTCTATTAAACTTTATTTAATTACAATTGCTTTAGATCTAGTACGGTGTCGGATGAGAAGAAGACACATGTCATGACAGAGGGTGAGAAATGTGTTGTTGACGTGCAGGAGCAGGTGGTCCGCAAGAGGCCAAGATTATCGTCACAGTATGTCATTTCTCCCTTTATGACTGAGGGGAAGAAGATGACGTTCATAGACGAGACATACCTCAATCTCTTCCGAGAGGTAGACCCTGCCAAGTGAAAAGCGTTCGAGACGGAGTGGATAATAATTATACTAAGTAAGTATTTTATGATTTTAGAAAAGTACGTTAATTCATCTATACTTCTTTTAACATTTTTTCTTTTTCTTTTTGTAGAGCTAGCTACATGATAGCTCAAAGGACAATAAGCGAGGGTGATTGTGGAAGATAGACGACGAGGAGACAGTCGAAATTTTAAGCATTTATAATTTTTTTAATATGAAAACTTAGTTTTTAACTATATATTACCAAACTAACACATTATTATTTAATTATATGGGCGATTGTGGCATGTTCCCAATCAAGTATATTGAATTTTTTAGAATAGCACATAAAGTTAATGGAATCAACAAACCCTAAATACAGAATTGGAGGAAGAAGTTAGCATATGATTTGTATGAATTCAATTATGAGTTATAAGTATTTTATATTGTTCTATTCGAAAATATAAATATTGATTATTTAATTTAAAGTTGTTGGATATTGTTTATTAAAAAAAATGTAAATATTGTTCATTCAATTGTGATCCGTAATACATTGTATATTATTTTACTTGTATCAAAACAAAGTATGGGGACCTAATTGCAACATTCTAATAGTTGATTCAAAATGTGAAACTGTTATCGAAGATTATTAACAGTGATTGATTATGCATTTGCCTAATTTTATTTAGGGTCCGTTTGATTGTAAGAATGAAATTTGGGTGGAAAGAAAATGAATTTCAAGGAATTAAATTGCCTATAACTTGTTTTACTGAGAATTGTCAATTAATTGTGTTTGATTGGTATAATGTTCCACCTAAAAATGTTGAAATTTTGGATCTTTTAGTGTTCGTTTGTCTTTGTTTTTCATGAAAATTGTCCAGTAAAGGGATAGAATTTGTTACCATTGAGGATAGAATTTGTTTCAACTGTTAAAAAAAATCCTAGAAAATCATTTTCCCAACAAAGTGGTGGGAAAACCAATTCAAGGAAAAGTAAGAAAAAGGAGACAGGTGGGGCTTAAGAAGGAAAACCAATTCCATGGAATATTTGGCGAATCAAACATGCAATAACTTAAAAAATGGAAAATAATTTCAAACTTCCATGGAAAATAAACCCTATCAAACATGGCCTTAGGGAAATCCGACTTATACAAAATTGGTAAGTATGACATGTTGCTCTGCACCTGCCCACCACGTGGTTGAGGAAACTCTCCATAGATAGAATTCTTGACGTACATAGACGTCTAGGACCACATGGTTTAATTTTTGGTGGCAACAAACTATTAATTGGGAGAATATGGTCGGGAACTTCCTACTCAACTTCATTCGGTAGAAGAAATATAGTCTCGGTAAACGCTGCTCTCCAAATATAAGTTGTGTAATAAGGAGAACATAAGGTTTTTTCTGCAAAGCATCTATACATACTGCGACTGCATGCTCACATAAGAAACTCTCCAACTAAAATCGGCTATAAGTGCAGGTGTTATCAGTCAAGTCCATGTATACGATATTACGTGTAAAATTTATGGAGAAGTGTAAATTATCTAGTGGTTCCACATTCAACTTTCTCGCAACCTTTGTAGCCTTAAAGAGTTTATCCTCCTGAACCAGGCTAGCATGCTCATGCTATTTTGTGCTTTCGGACGTCATTCGTGAAACTACTATTATAGCTAGTTACAAATGTTCACAGTCATTAGAAAGGTTGCTAACTCTCGATTCTTCTTGAAGAATGCATCGAGAGACTCCGCGTTGTTTAACGTCATATGTTGCATCGACGTCCTAGAAAATGTATCGTGCCCAATGTTCAATCTCCATTTTTTTAGACAATCCCATGTCGGGAACGACTTGCTTTCTACTTCGACCAGGAACTTATTACACTTTTCAACATTGTAAACTTCTGCCTCTCTCCTAAATAATGAAATGATGTATTTACCTTGATACCTAGTCTTCAAGTGTACCTTGTATATAGTACATGCAATACTCATTATGTGCCTCGAGAAAAATTTCAGTAATACCATTTATTATAGATGGTCCCCAATCAGTTACAAAGGCAAGGTTTTCAATGTTCTCAATTACTTCTCTCTACTCTGTAAAGGACCAACGCATCGACAAATCATTCTCGCTATCGACCATGTCGAATGCAAAAAGGTAAATTTAGATGTTGACATCTTGACATGTAACAATAATAAACTTGCCTTCATATCTAGCTTTTAGAATTGAACCGTCGTCTAGAATTAGGGGTCATATCGCATTTTGAAATACCGAAATGCATTGTTCAAGAGCCATAAAAAAACTTGAAGTAGTTCTTGCCCTTTTATCTCAATAAAAAATGCTGAGCCACGATTAGTTGTCCCCATGTTATGGTAATACCTAGCCAATTTAGAATAACTCTCCTCGATCGAGCCCATTAAATCCTCTAACGTGCATTCTTTGGCCTTCCGACCTTCTAGTAACTCATGATCACTCCGTACTATTGACAGACATCGTAAATGATATTTGAAGGTATATAGATCGTCTGTGGTTCCTGATACTTGTGTATTATCTGTCGACCAATAAACCATGTCCAGGTTTGCTTGTGATCATTTCGACAAATTCTCACTACGAAAGTATGTTTCCGTCTATACTTGCGAACTATAAATATCTCAATCATATCCATCTTCATCGCTCGCAAACACCAATAGCAACTGTCATTGACGCGGATAATTGTCAACAATGACTTGTTTGATTTCTTCACTTTGAACTCAAAGTTGTATTTCAATGCAATCTAGTGTATAGATTCTTGAAAACTTTTCTTTGTTTCAAACAGTTGCTCGACATGCAAATCCTCAGAGTCAGGAACCACACATGAAGAATTAGAAGATGGTCCACTCGATCCAATCCTTGAGCTCCCACCCCAATCATGTCTCTGACGGGATAAAGTAATCAAATCCTCATTTGTAAATTCATCTTTATTCTTGTTGTCATGAACTACTGAAGGAATTATATGCGTAACAGCGAGATCACGATGAGAAACAACTGTTTTGGGAATAACCACATCATCCTCACAAGCTATTACCACTGTGTCACAAAAATCATTGGCATTATAATCCCCTTAATCCGAATCTTTGTGTTCACATTCATCATCATTCTTCCTAACAAAAGTTACGCAAAGAGAA